CTCAAGATCAAGCGCAAGACATACGACCAGAGTACCGGCAAGCAAAGCACACAAGACCGGATTCTGGAGGTACCCATCAAGAAGGGGTTGAAGGCCGGCAGCAAGATCAAGTTCTCAGATGTCGGCGACCAGGTGGAGGGTGGAACACAAGATCTGCACTTCATCGTCTCTGAGGTAAGTCTTTCCATTCCCAGTTCACGCAAAAATCGGTACTAACGACACCACAGAAACCCCACGCAATGTTCACCCGCGAAGGCGACGACGTCAAGCACACAATCGAAATCGACCTCAAAGAAGCCCTCACCGGCTGGCGCCGAACTGTCCAAACCATCGACGGCAAACAACTCAGCGTCGGCAGCGGCGGTCCCACCGGTCCCACCTGGACAGAACGATACCCCAACCTCGGCATGCCCAAGTCCAAGAAACCCTCAGATCGCGGCGACTTCATTGTCGGCGTAAAGATCAAGTTCCCGACCAGCTTGACAAGCGCACAAAAGGAGAAGCTGAAGGAGATACTGTAGTTGGACTGAGGGAAGAAGGAACACCTGCTCTGCGCATCAAAAGTATGGGCAGGGTATGGGTGTCGGACGGAACTTTGATTCTCGTATATCATTTGCATTTCTTTATCTTATTTTACGCCTATATATGCTCGACATGAGCCACACGAAGGCGTCGGTGGAGTTCTGATATGTTTATTGTTCGTTTGGAAGGGGTAAGGCCAGCGTGGTGGAATGCTGGTAAAGATGATTGGGGATGACATATATGAAGTAACGCGTCTATGATAGACGAATCAATGAACTAGTATACTGTGCGAGAACTTGCTTGCTCATGCGTGAGAGCGGTATTGTTGCAGACTGCGAACGCTCCTTCCTCGGTGGCGGAAAGAGCCTTGGATGGCTGGCTGGCTGGCGCGTTTTAGCGCGTACAGCTACCGCGTCCCCTTCTCATCCATCCTACCGTCACCATCAATCTCTTCAGACCTCCATCGTTCAATCGGCGAATGCGAATAACCGCTCCCGACGCGGTCACCGGCACCGGAACCTGCAATCAACATGTGTCACAGGACTGCATCATCGCCCGTGCCGCGAGGGTGCATGCTGCCCCGCCTCTTGGCGGCCTCCTGGCTGCTACCCTCCTGAGCGCGATGAGATGGACCACATTATGAACTCTATCGCACTCTTTTGCTATCCAATACACTTCTTGGTCTATACTCTTTCGCAAGGATGGAGACCCAGGATCTGGACAACGGATCCATGGACACGGTTGAGACATCTACGACGAGTTTGGACTCTATTGTCCCTGCGACTCCAGCTTCCGAAGACGAATTTGATGAAAAAAGCCACGACATATGTGGAACGAGATACCTGTTCAGTCGTTGGTCTCATTATTGTGGAGAAATTGATACCACCATCTCGGAACTTCGACTTGGGGCTGCTGCTGGTTGCTATAACTGCGGCATTGTACTCGACGCCGTTGCTTCTTACGATCGCGGATGGCTCTCAAGATGTAGCGTCATAACCCTAGTGAAAAAGTCCGGCACCAGCATACGCCTCTGTTCCCCGCCAGCCTTGGATTCGGTAGAAGAATCCAGCCAGTCAAGGCCTCGCGAAGTAGAATTGGAGTTGTTTCATCTGGAACGTAAGTCGTGTATACGTATAACCATCTCTCTCCGATCGGCGAGATGATCGTTAGTGTTCGCTCAATCATGCTTTATCGTACGACCGGCCCTGGGTTTCAGGGCCCTTTCAAATGAACTGATGTTCCTCATGCAACGGCTGAGAACATGAATTGACCCTGTGGGCTGACCGCCATGTAGGTTCAAGCACAAGGATTCGGCACAAGACCACGAAGGAGGTTTGGCCGGACCGCTCCAGGGAGCTACCATCGGAAGATACGTCTTCAGACCAAGCCCTGCAAACACTGCACACTTGGATTGAAACCTGCGTTGAGCATCATGGAGCCTGTGCTGGACGCAAAGTTACAATGCTTCCGAAACGAATTCTCGAGATAGATGGCAATCATGTTTATCTTCGCGAAAAAATCGACACAGCAGCCATCTACGCTTGTCTGAGCCATTGTTGGGGTCCAACAGGTCCAACAATCAGGCTAGACAAGGCGTCTTTCGGTCTCCTGAGGGACGGTATCAGCATCGATCAGCTACCAAAGACCTTTGCAGATGCCGTTCACTTATGCGCGAGGCTTCATATTGACTTTATTTGGATTGATGCCTGCTGTAAGTTCTTCTTCTCTGTAAGCATGGCTTAACATATAGGTAACTATAGCTTGTATATTTAGGCATTATGCAGGACGACAAGGAAGACTGGAAGGAAGCAGCAGCAACGATGGGAGATATCTATGCACAGGCTCATCTCACCATTGCAGCCACATGGGCTAGTAACAGCGACTCTGGTCTGTTCGCGCCGGACCCAGAACGATACAAGGCCCGAAAACTACAAAATTATGAGCTCTATGTGCGGGAGAAGCCAGGAAAGTTCCCCTTCCTTGTTCTTGCCAGGGATTCAAAGAGCTTTGCGCTTCTAACCAGGGCTTGGGTATATCAAGAGCGATTCTTGTCGCCACGAATGGTTCATTTCTGCAGAGATCAGGTGAGCTATCAGTACTCGTATTACTTGTGGGTCCATGGCCTTCTGGCTCGCGAGACAGCGCTGGGATCTATCGAAGGCCTATCAGCGCGTGAAACCCGAGATGGGTCAGCTGTAATTCTTCTTTTACACAAAAGAACAAGCGCCTAACCTACTGTTCAGATGTATTGGCATTGTCCCACCCTGTTCACAACAGAGAGTGGGCTACCCTACAATGAGCCCCGCTTCGGCCTGCTCCGTAAAGCCTACGAGTTTTTGGGGGTTGATGAAGATCCAGTCTTTCGCTGGCATCACATTGCAATGACGTATTCTGGATTGAAACTCACGTACGCGAGCGACCGGTTACCAGCGATTGCGGCTGTAGTCGAACGAGAAATGCGGCTGCGACAAGGTGATATTTACATCGCTGGTATATGGAAGAGCAGTCTGCTTACCGATCTGGTCTGGTCCGCCGATTACACCATAAATTCTCCTGCGCTGCCACGTCTTCCGACCTCCAACCCTACTTGGTCGTGGCCATCCTCCCAAGCCAGAATTGTTTGGAGCAGCGGATCGATCATGCCGTCTTTAAGGCTACTTGACTTATCCTTTACGCGGGTCGGACCGGCTCATATTGGCGAGGTCGCGGATGCCAGTATCACTCTAGAGGGCCATACATGCAAGACTCGACTCAAGCATATAAGCGACCCTGAAGTCCGATATCATTCTTCTATGGAGATGGTACCTCCCCCATGTCAAAGCGCTGGAGTGAGGATGCCGTGTTCCATGGACATGGACTTCGATTGGACCACCGGTGACCGGCCTGTCGCGAGTGGAGCTACTTTCACCAGTTTGCTGATGAAGATTTGCCCGGACCATGGCCATTGTACTGGACTTGTTCTGCGAGAGATGCCCGATGGTAGCTTCGAAAGAATGGGAACTATTGAAATCAGAGCAGAATATCGAGGCGGAGCGTCCAAGGAAGAGCGTTTTAAGGTACTCAGCGATTTCGTCGAAGCAATGCCTATTCGACAAGTCAAGATTATCTGAAGAGCAGGTAACAGGCTGCATACCTATTTGGGTCAGCGACATCTCTGCGCTTCTGGAGTATCAACGACATCGTCTCACCTGAATTAACGTCATGCGAGACCCTCGACACTCACCCGAACATGCCTTCTCTGGTCATTGCGCGCACCTCGAAGCGCACGTATATCTTCATTCATGTATAACTGAGGATATGCATTCTGAGCGCTATCGATGGGTCGAGTTTTCTCGTGGGAAGGCCGCATCTTCAGCACTCGTATAAGCTTTTGCAGGTTGCATATCACTCTAGATATTCTGAGACGTTGCTCTCTTTTGCCAGCTGGCTGTTGTCTCGGAAATTACCATGTCCAATCATGAGCAAGCTCGGTATGGTGCTGAAATCGTGCACTCAGTCAGCAAGTTTGCTCTCACCTGCAGATCGGGCTTGCGACCATGTGTGCAACGATACTGCAACCAAGCCACCTTCACCTGTACTTTTCAGACCCTGTAAACTCTCGCTCACCTCGACTATCGCCTTTCGCGCCCGTTATCGCCTTTAGTCCACTTTTCGCATCCTAAAACTTCTACTCTACTTCTTGCAACCTACCAACAGCGATCGCAAAGATGGTGGAGCCAGCGGTCTTGCCGCGCAATTTAGCGTAGTAAGTCCATCGAAAGGGTTCATTGGCCTGACTAACCAGTTTTGGCAGTATCGACACCGCAAAGTTGAACAAGCATTTGAAGAAACTTCATGACGCGGACACCTTCCCGCCGGTTATGATTGCACAGTCGCAATCGCATGCCTCCGCTCTCACCGAGAACATCTGCTCTGATTACAAGCTTCTCAACGACACTATGATTCGACACGAACCATTGATTAGGAAGAGATGGAGCAAGAAGTCGGTCGCTCAAAGGAGTGAGATTCTGCGAGCTGCCTACCCAACAATTGCTATGGAGCACCAACCGGACTTCGCCTGGCGATACCAAAATATGCTATTTGAAGAAGGCGCTGGTCCGAAGCCCAAGGAACATGTCGACGTAATGCTTTGGCCATTCATCAACCTGGAGGATCTGACGAAGCCGAAGTCCTTGCTCATCTACCTGAACTCGAGGGCCCGCAATCTACCATGGACCTTTGCGACGGGTGAGGTTGCTTTCTCTCAGTATGGCGTCTTATGTTCCAGTTGTAAGCCGCGTGAGATGTTGGCGACTGTACACTTCATGCCCAATACCGACCCTACAGTATATGGCCAAGTTCGGAGAGTTCATGGCTGCTGTGGTCAAGTCGACGGAGACATGATCCACTGCGATCTTATTCAAGGCCTCCAGATGCTGAAAATGCAGCAGCGGATCATGAGCTTTCTTGTATCGTGCTGCCGATACATTTTGCACGACATGACGGAGGAACAGATGCTATCTGGACCAGTTCTAGAAGAGCCGCCCTTCTCAGAAATCCTCTTGCAAGTGGATGGCAGCCATGCTAATTTCTCCGATACCATCGCGATCGCGCCCTATATCAAGCGAGGCAATCTTGAACTCGCCAGACTCCGAGGCTATGTCAATGCGATCTACAGCGAGGCTAAGAATCACGTCCTGTCTCTGAGAGAAGATCCCTCTTATCTTGCAGACACAATCACCGACGTCTCTGAGCATAGCTGCGAGCTCATTCCGGATACACGTGGCCGCATCGACCAATCTGTTGATACTCCGAAGTTCCTGGTGGGTGTCGCAAGGCATATAGTCTCACAGTCAAACCAGAGCTTGATAATGTGGTTCGAGGTCTCGGCAAGACTAGATCAGCTTTGCCTGCACGCCCATAACGGCGCCGCTACCCATGATCAGCTACAGAATGTCCTTAATCTCGAGGCTTTACTCGAACGTGCTCGAAGCTACCTACTACGAGAAGTCACTAGTGCCGGTATGGCATCGCCCACGATGCGAAAATACTATGAACGCATAGTTTCCGGGCCAGGAGATTGTCCATACATACAGATCGCTATCGGAGAAGGATATTCTCTCCGAACGGAGGGCGAAGCATGGATGCTGAGCGTTTTTCATCGTCTGCTGTCTTTCAGTCAAAACGACTCCCGGAAGAACATCAATGGCTTTGCAGAGATGCCTGGGGGTGAAGAGATCAAAGTGGACATCGACCTCCACGCCACAATGGACCGTCTAGATACTCTCTCACGCAAACACCGGAGTGCGCGCGCTATGCTAACAGCCCAATTGTCATCTCTCATCAGCCAGCTTTCTATCATCGAGGAGTGTCTTCATGAGATCAAGCTATGGAAGAGGTCATCAGAAATTTGGATACTACTCGGCACATCTCGCATGGAAGCCACAGAGTCGAACAAGGGAAGCTTCTCAACCAACTGGGCTCATCACATAAATGACTACGACGTACCAGTCTATTTGGTCAAACCATCGCGAGGAAGCCTACGCTATCCCATCGATAAGCCGCGAACCGCTCAGAACGTGAAGACGATGCGAGACTTGGAATCAAATCTTGACAAGTTCTGGAATGATATCGACTCGTTCTACAAACTTAAGACTGGTGTTGCGCAAGATGAAGTGTTACGTCGATGTCTCCTGGAAGGTGGTGAGATGCGCCGAACTGCTCCGTGGACTGGCCCAAGCGTTCCCAAAGAGTGCTTCAAAAGCATCGAGTACAAAGCCATCAGCAACTACGACCACGATGTTGCACTGCAGATTACCGGAACCTTCGATAAGCCGGTCACACGAGGTAGTGCCAAGCGAAAGAAGCGCTACCATGCTCCTCTAGATACCGAGCCAGCGACTCAAGTTCACGACATCGGTCATCCAAGCCCGGAGAAGAAGCCCGAACGAATCTACTGCGTCGACAAACGTGCCCACAAAGTCTTCAAGACTCTCTTCTATGTCCCTCTTTCAGATCTTGGAGAGACACCGAAAGCGATTAAGTGGGACGACTTCAAGCGCGCTATGATTCGAGCCGGCTTCTCTGCGGAAAAGCTCCAAGGCTCAGCCTGGCAGTTTACTCCTAGTGTTTCTACGGATGTCGCTCGTGGCATCCAGTTTCACGAGCCACATCCCGACAGCAGTATTCCCTACATCATGGCTCGGCGTTTTGGCAGGAGGCTTCAGAGGGTATATGGCTGGCACGGTGGTATGTTCAAGTTGGCTTGAGTGGGAAAAGAAGCGATGAACGGAAAACTTGGCCAGGGGAGGGATGCAGCTTGTGCGACACACCCACACACGCGTGCAGGGGTATTTTGCTTCTCGTTGCCATGGTTTTCTTTTCTTTCTACTTGGTTTGTCCGTTCCAGAGAAGTTTTGGTTCTACATGCATGGCTACGTTTCTCAACGTTTGAGTCTCAGACTCACACGCCGCAAAGAATGCGCACAGGCTATCCAAGTTTCATCATCACAATTACGTCGAGGTTCAGCATCGGACCACCAATACGTAGCAAATCCAAAATTACATTATAGCTTGCATCTTGTGTGAAGAGCCTTAGCATCAGTCTACTGGAACACGTCCCCTTCAAACTGTGCCTGACCTTTCAATAACCATATGCCCGTCGTACCTTCTTTCATAGTACCACCATCTATCTGGATGCACTGCGATCTCATGCGCGCCAATCGCCATGTTCTCGAGACAAAGCTCTTCGGCATCCTGTTTCAGCTGTGCATCATTCGTGTTCTCACTGAGCAGCCGTAGGTTACGGCTTTGTTGGACTGAAGCTTCACCAAGCTTGCTCAGATCGAGGACGTAACTCCCCACTCGGAGAAAGAGCTTGGCCGCGGTATGCAGACCTGACAACGTCGAAGGAGCATTGCTAGGGTTGAAGGTGTGAAGCCCACTGCAGACTGTTCCAATCGCGCTTGGTAATAGGTGATACCCTTGCTGGGAGCAGGTGCAGCGCGCGCCAATGCTCACCTGTCCAGGAGGCTTCTACATGTAAATGACGCAAGTTCCAAGTCGTATCCCTCCCGTCGATCAATCTTCCTCGTTCACTCGACCGAAAACGCCTATCGCGCTATCATCCCAATCTCCCTGGATACATCGCGTCTATAGACACGACGCTACATCTAGAACTTTTGACTTCACGTCCCTTCGCCATAGTGAGCGCGACTGGTGAAACAAAAGATGTAGCCTCTCTCGACAAGCGCCATTCAAGTGGCACATTGTGTTGCAAGGTCTCTACCTCTGACACCTGACTAGACGTTGGCTTTCGAGTACTGGTTTGGCGCTCCAAATCCGACGGGGGCGTTACAGCCGAGCGGCTAGAATGTGCACGATCTTGGATGACGCGCACGATTTGACTGAGTACTGCAAACTCGATCTTGAGCTTGAAGCTGTAAACAAGTGATTTGAAGGTCGTCTGTATCATGTAGAGATTCAAGAACTCCGTCGTAAGCAACGCGATATCCAGTATCAGCAGAAGTATGCTCATTGCGACGAGCTGCCACATCCACTTCCTGGCCTTTCCGTCGAAAATAACGCGCATCAGCTTGCGGGTTTCCCATAGGTAAATGCAGGATATCGAGATCTCTTGGATGGTGAAGAGAGTCATTTGTATTTTCTCCATGACCATGTAGCCGCGGAGATATCGCTCGGGGTGATTGGTGAATAACCGTAGATTCAGGACTACGGTCGGCACGCAAAGGCATACTGCTGAAACGATGATGACCCAAAAGATAGATCGCAGAAGCCTGAGGTTCGGCGATATCAGGTGTAGGCGCGAGTACAGAACCATGGATTGTCCGGGTACCATTAATATCCATCCCATGGTAAGGAGGGTGTTGTAAATGCGAGGATCATGGGCAACGCTATTTTGTTTCATCCATGCCCCTGGAGACTGAGTTAGCCATCACCACTGCAAATCTAGAAGCTTATGCCTACCTGTCGCATACGGCACAATGCTGAGTGTGTTAACTATCAAACTCCAGAAGTATAGACCAGTGTACCGTCTGAATACGACGAAGATAAGGATGATGAGCTCAATCGAGTTGTACCACGCGATGGCTGTGAATGCTGTCATTGCCCGAGGGAGAACGCGATTGGTGCCGAACACGTCGAAGTTGGCGCCGGTGATGCCATTGGCATTGGTGACGTTCACCATCTTGTCGAGATTGCGATGTAACTGGGCTTGAAGCTTTAACTGAGTGTTCCACACACTACATTATACTTCGTAGATGATAAGCCCCGACATCTCCATCGGCCGCACGGAGTGTGTGATATTCAAGCCACCGGCGCAATGTAAGCATGTGTAAGCATCGTTGGATCTGGTCTAGCGTCACCGCATACCGCTATTTTTGTGTTACGTGTTGGCCATGTGTGGCTGCCAGCACCAGATAGATCGAATAAGGCGCGCAAATCGATATTGTGTATCGGAGTGCTAGATCGTGAAGGCACCATGCGGTGCTGGCTGACACATCGACGTGGCTGCTGCGTGGAGATGGAAACGAGCACCTGCCAGCCTATGCAACCGCCCGAAACGCTATCTTTGACCTTTCAACACCGTTCTACACAGGAAGCCCGACTTCAAAGCTATACGTTAGACAAATCGTTTGAATCCTATACTTCAGAGGTTGTAGGCTTTACGAAGCTGTACTGATGATCAACGTGGGGTGGGGCAAAGGATGCTGCAGTGAAGCAGGCACGACGCGATGGCCAAAGAGTCTGCGAAGAATCGAGGACAGTTTCATTGTCTTCAAATGGAAGCGCGCTAGGTCGTTTATTTGCGCTGTAGGTCGACGTGCATCGTGATGGACGGTGGGATGAGGATCGTGTCGCGTCGCGCGTCAGGGGCGGACACATGATTACTCAGATATGACGTAAGGCTCGATCCGCAACGAAACTCCGACGCGTCTCTCCAACCACCCCATCTCAAACATCTTTCACGCGACGACGCCATCTCCAGGTCCTACAATTCATTGCCGCTGTTTCTATCCTAAGTATATCCGACTAACCAAGTTGACGTAAGCGAAGTGACAATGGGCCGCACGCGTCGCCTCATAGCACGCCTTGTCAGACAGCGGGAGAGGAAGGGCATGATACCGATGGATCACTGTTGAGAGTTTGAGCCCAGATATCTGGCTGGGAGTGCTCGAAATCCTAGCTGCCTGGCCACAATCATCCCTAGGCCACCCATACGCAGGTGTGTGAGCGGAGAAGTTTCTAACTGTCCTGTTCATCTTTACATATCATCAGTCTCATTCTATGTCATCTACGGATCGTGTCTTCAAAGTATACCGCACCTTCTTTTATCTTCCTCATTGTCGGTATATCAGATCAAGAATAGTAGCATGGTATCTACCATCCTATAAGCTACAACTCGTCGTCTCCATTATCTCTACTACAGTGTTCCCCTTCGGCCATCTCAGGGCTGCCTGGAAAGGGCAAAGACGTGATCCTCGAGCGCTGTTTCGCCTGTGAGGTGCGCGATGTACTCCAGGCCTTGACGTCAGAGAGATGTGTCTGTATCTTTCCCTTCCTCTTTCACTTTCTTGAAGCTACCGCTTTTATGGCCGCTCGTGTATGGTGACTTGCTATTGTCGATGACAAGTCATAGCTTCGTGTCTCGCACTTCTTGGATTTTTACGAGCGCTATCTCTGATTGGACGTTGCTTGATCTTTATGCCTGGAATATCCTATTTGGGTAGATCACGTTCGCACGTTTTGCTATTATGACGCATTCACCTGGACCTAGTCACGCATGGATATTACTGGCTCAATGAAAGTCGGTATTCAGTCGCTGCAGTCCTACAGATCCCTGTCGCACGCGATATCTTGGCCAAAGCGTCGCTCTCACGACCTTTCTAGCCACAATACCCCGCTCAGTCGCATCACACCGCGAGTCTGACCTACATTCTTGCAATACTACACACAATTCTTCTGTCAGACACCTCTTTTCCTATCGACCTGTAGCTTCCTGCAATGGCTATCACAAGCTCCGCCCCCGTCTTGCCCCCTGACGGCTCCTTGTCCCCTCAGTTGGTTGAGTATCTGGAGGCTATGGAGGAACGCATTGTTTCTCGCCTACTCGCCGCTCTCCGCCCGACGTATGAGGCTGGCGCGCCGGAGCAGACGCTCGCTAAGATGGTACCGGTCGTCGTTGCTTCAGTCCAGAACGTGATGAGCGCCGCGCAGCCCCCAACGGGCAACAACACCGTGAGATTTGCACCGTTTGATGTGCATTCACTATATTAACGCGAAACAGACCTCCCCACAGAGACCTCGCGAGTCTTCCAGCAGGCAGACACGTTCCCGCTCTGCCGCTATCACACCGCGACACTCTCAGCAGTACAAGGACGTCACCCAGAACCCAAAGTGCACGTTCGAAGAACTGTGTACCGCCTTCAAAGTTTTGAAGCCCCACCAAACCTTTGACGAGTACTATCTGGACGTCGCGAGCAAGAAGCCGCTTCCGTCACTTTCGAAAGCTGAAGAGCACATACTTCTCCATGCACCCCGCGTCGTATCCGTTCTTGATTACGCCAGTAATATTCCTCTACCCGACCGCACCAGCGACGAGGAATTCTCCGACGAGTCGTCTGACAATTCGTCCGACGATGTGTCTCTATTCTCGTCGGTCAGCAGCTGTAGCACATTCACCACAGAGGCGCCAATGTCTCCTGAGTTTGACCAAGCCACTGACAGAGTAGAAGACTCCACCGAATTATACGACGCTGTCGGTGACGACAAGAGCACTCCTGCTGAAGTCAAAGCGCCTATTGATGCAGTCTCGGCAGAGCCATCAACCACTATCGAGCCTACAAGGGCCCCCCAGAGTAACGACGGCGCGACAGATCCGCCCGTTACAGAATACAACAACGAGGACGGCAACGATAACAACGGCACCGTCCACTTTGCCGCCGCCGGTGTACGTGAGAACCAGCCCAATACTCATCAACAGACACACTCGACAGATATCACAGACTGCGATGTCAGTACTAGTGAGCTGTCGATCGTCCTTGGAGCAGCATCGCAAACCGAAGCGATGGAAGTCTGCATCCCAGAACCTACTCATTCTCGTCCGGTCGACTCTCAAAACACGCGGCCAGAGTTCAGCCAGACCATGGACGGGATAGAGTCACCACCAGCTCCTCGCGATACTTCCGGTACTGAACAGGACGGTATGGATGACGTTCAAGTCACCAGCCGCGTGGATACCGAGGAGCAGAACATGGTTGACGCGCCCCCGCCTGAGAGCACTACTGAATCACGAGCGAGGTCCAGAGTCCAGGCAAACACAAGCAATCATTGGTGGAACGGCAAGGTCGATTATCTGCTGGAGTTGATTCCTGATCTTCACCTCGTTCTGCAAAAAGCTCTTCCAATGATGATTCAAGAGAGACAGGCGAACCGGATTCCGGTCGAGATCCTTGACTATGTCAACAACGCAACATCTGCGAGAGGGCTTGGCAAGGCTCTCGAATCCGCCATGAAGAATAAGCTGTTGCATAACGCAGAGTTCAACAAGCTGGAGAAATACGCAAAAGGAGAGCGTGTTGTCATCCCAAAAGTCAGCAACTATCCTACAAAGGATACTGGCTCCTCCCCGACTGCTGCCAATACTACTGCGCAGTCAGCTAGTCCTCCCGCTGCAGCTCAGACGTCGATCGTCGGCGCCTCTGTGACGGGTCCGAAGGCTCTCATACCAGAAGAGCCGACGACACCAGAGCCGGAGTCGATCAAAGAGCGATTCACCAGGCTCTTATGTAACGCACGGGCAGAAATGCTCAAAAACGACGAAGACCCTGCCTTGAAGAAATTTCGAGGCCAATTTAATATCTCGTTCCAGAAGCGATCGGACATAGATGTTATGATAGATTATCTCATCAAGCATCCCCGATTCAAAGGACGCGATAGCAATGGGGGACCCCAAATCGACATGGCAAAGACCGTCGATATCATACAAGCTCTTTACGACGACCTGAATCCTCACGGTAAGGAACAAATCGTCTGGAGGTGCATGGAAGCTCTGGCCGCACAAGACGTGAAGGCGGAGAACGAGGAACTCTCTGGGTTTATACGCTGCGCCCGTCGTCAGAAACCTCTCGAGATCCTCTTTCAAAGCATCTCAACGTCTAACTTTGCGCTAAAGAAGGCGGTGAATGGGGATGGCGCCCTCAGCTGGGATGACATGAAAGATCTCGCAAAGAAGAAAGAGCGCCAGTACTTCGAGGATAGGTCGAGAATGAACGATCTTCCGAAGTATCGGGAATATATGAAGGAGAGGGGGATGTATTGGAGCGACATGGCCAACATGAAGAAGCTGGTCGCTCAACACGTGGCTGATCGGGATCCGGTTACGGGCCAAGTCCCCGCCACAGATTTTGTTGATGGGGCAGAAGCGCCAGTTCCCTCCAACGGCAAGCGCAGCCTCGCTGACATTCCGCACGATGACGATGAGCAAGATTTGAAGCGGTTGCGAGAAGAGCCCGCTGAGCTCACTGAAGAGGAAGAGCGTGCTGCGAGGAAGAGGGGTGCACGAGGGCCTGCTGACTCTGAGAGCAGCGAGCGCGTAAAACGGAGTCGTGACTGAGTTCTTGGGATCCAGATCGTGTCTTCGGATGAATGTCTTTTTTGGGTTATATACTGTTCTGGTTTCTGGCTCGCGTCTTCCGACGAGAAGGTCCTTTCTTAGTTAGCTTTGTCTTTTTGTTTTTCGTGTGCTTCATGTGGTGTTTGATTAGAGATACCCAACGAATGGAAAAGTGTAAATTGTCAGAATGATAAGTACTGTGATGTATTACGAAAGCTATCTTATGTTCCATCTCTCCCGATGAGGTCCAATATCTAACTCCAATCTTCATGTTCGATCAGAACACACCCGACGCTCTATTGAAGTCCACACCTCCTATCTGATGTTGGCGACGGTTATGACAAATTGGAAATTATTTTTCGTCTTCCACGACATTCTACGCCTAATCATCGCCTGCCTCGGAGCCATCGTCATGACCATACGCCCCAAAAAAGCCTCGGTCAATCCCAAACCGCATATGATCATCCGTCCCGTCGTAAGCAGTGGTGTCGGGTGCATCGGCACTTAGCCAGAAGCCTCTAATGTGGCAGAAGATAAGTCCCCTTCGTGTACGCGCATCAGCTAGCTCTCTG